ACACAATGGAATATTACTCAGCAATAAAAAACAAGGAATCATGAAATTTGCAGGTAAATGGTGGGAACTGGAAAAGATCATCTTGAGTGAGGTATCCGAGAAGCAGAATGAAACAGAGGGTATATACTCACTCATAAGTGGATATTAGACATGGAATATAGGATAAATCTACTAAAATCTGTACACCTAAAGAAACTAATCAAGAAGGAAGACTAAAAGGCTCAATCCCCATTCAGAAAAGCAAAGAGGATGGACGTCAGAAGGAGGAGAAAATAGGGAACAGGACAGGAGCCTGACACAGGAGCCTCTGAAAGGCTCTCCCCTGCAGACTATCAAAGCAGATCCTGAGACTTATGGCTAACCTTTGGGCAGAGTACAGGGAATCTTATGAAAGAAGTGGGAAATAGTAAGAGCTGGAGAGGACAGGAACTCCACAAGAAGAGCAACAGAACCAAAATATCTGGGCACAGGGGTCTTTTCTGAGACTGATACTCCAACCAAGAACCTTTCATGGAGATAACCTAGAACCCCTGCACAGATGTAGCCCATGGCAGTTCAGTATCTAAGTGGGTTCCATAGTAATGGGAACAGGGACTGTCTCTTACATGAACTCAGTGGATGGCTCTTTGATCACCTCCCCCTGAGAGGGGAGCAGCCTTACCAGGCCACAAAGGAAGACAATGCAGGCACTCCTGATGAGACCTGATAGACTAGGACCAGAAGGAAGGAGAGGAAGACCTCTCCTATCAGTGGACTTGAAGAGGGGCATGTGTGGAGAAAAGGAAGATAGGGTGGACTTGGGAGGGGAGGTGGGAGGGAGCTACAGCAGGGATACAAAGTGAATAAAGTGTAATTAATAAAAATTAAAATAAAAAAATATTTTAAAAAAGTTACTTATCAAAGGTTTAAGTCACTGACAAACCTTTTACTAGCCAAAAAAAGACCTCAAACAACAAACCTCCAAAGGAGACAGCTGAGGCAAGAAACAATCAGAAGAAATTAAAAGACTACTATGATCAATCTTACCAAAAAATTGAACAAATATCTAAACTCCTAAGAAGCATAGGATTTAGCAAACCGACTCAGACAGTAATCTAACTATGACAAAGATTACAAAGCAATTCAAACTTTCCCATTAAAGGAAAGCCTAATGAACAGATAAAGCTACAAATATTTAAAGAATTAAACCAATCTGTTCCTAACTCTCCTATGAAACTGAACAAAATGCACACTTTTCAAGTTCTTCCTTCAAGGACATTACCCAATACCAAAGCTAGATAAGAATACTAAGAACGCAAAAAGTTGCAAGCCAATATCCTTGATGAAGAAAAATGCAAGAACTTTAAGCAAAATCACACTAAATTCTCTATTTGAAGCTTGCTCTTCTAGGATTAGGGACAATTCAAAGTTTCCCATTCTCATTGTTTCTATTCAACACAGCAATTAAAGTCCTAGTCAGAGTAATTAGTCCAAGGAAATGAAATTTAACGTTATCTAATGGTGTGTATGTGTGTGTTTGCATGTGTGTATGTTGAAAGGTCCCTTTTGCAAAAGACACGATCTTCTACCTATTGAAAACCTTAAAAGATTTCATTAAAAAAAAAAAAAAAAAAAACCACTTAGGAAAAAATTCAGTAAAGTTGCAAGATATAAAACATTTAAAAAATTAGTTTTGGGGCTTGAGAGGTGGTGGCTCAGTGGTCAAGAGTACTGGCTCCTCTTCCAGAAGACTTGGCGGGGGGGGGGGGGGGGGTAATTCCTAGCCCCCATGTGGCAGCCCCCAGCTGTCTGTAACTACATGAAATAAAAATAAGTATATTGTGGGTTAAGAGCACTGTCTACTCTTCCAGAGGTCCTGAGTTCAATTCCCAGCAACCAAATGGTGGCTTACAACCATCTATAATGTGATTTAATGCCCTCTTCTGTCATGCAGGTGTACATATTGAAGAACACTCATATACAATAGACAGACAGACAGACAGACAGACAGACAGACAGACAGATAGATAGATAGATAGATAAAAATAAATAAATAACTTAGAAAAAGTTCTCACTGCCCTATAAGCTTTGAGGCAAGGGGAAAAAAATTTGTGTCTATTAGCATAAAGTAGCCAAAAGAAAAATGAAAGGCTATAGAGATTGTTCGGTGCTTAGGGGCATTTTCAGAGGTCCCGTGTTCAATTCCAGCATACACATGTCACCTGTAACACCAGTTCCAGGGGAATCTGACACTTTCTTCTTACTCTTCCAGCACCAGGCAGGATGTGGTGCAAATGTATTTAGGCAAAACACTCACACACATGGCATTAAATTAAAAGCACACACAAAAAGAGCAAGAAAGCAATTCTACTTATAATAACATCAAAAACAATGCTATCACATTGAACTCACACTGGTGAGTTCAAATAATTAGAATTGGTAAAATCTGTCCATTTTAGAAGACATTTGATATCAACCTCTGCACTCCACATGTATGTGCACAAAATGAACACCTTCCCCAGCACAAATCACACATGCTGGTACTGGACATGATTTTTAGATATAATATTAAAAAAAAGCAGGCAAATAAAAGCAAAACCAAATGGAATTATTAATAAGAAAATAAAGTTTATGCACAGGAAAGGAATCAGTAAGCAAAATGAAATGGCAAACCATAGATTGAGAAAAAACCTGTAAGCCATCTATATATAAAAAATTAATATCCAGAACAGTGTATTCAGAATATAATACATAACAAAGCAATCTAACAAAATCCTAATTCAAAATAAACATGCAAAGATCTTAAATATAGTCTCTTCTACAGAAGACAGCAATGTCTTGTTCAACAGGCACAAGAAAAGATCACTTACATCACTAGCCAGCATACCAGATACCATCTCATACAAACCTGGAATGACTTCTATAGATGATATGTTAGCAAAGATGTGGACCTGTTCTCTACAGATGGGGACATACATAAGTGCAATCATAACCAGCTACACTATCCCAGGGAATCCAATGTCCTCTCTGGCCTACAGAAGTATTACATGCATGTGGTATACAAACATGCATGCAATCAAAACACCCTTATATATAAAATAAATTTAAAAAAAAGTTTTTAATTGATGAATGAATTCTCAATTGAGACTGGAACAGGAATTCCAACAATTTATGAAATGGCCCAAAATATTTCTACCATTTTATACTATGTATTTATACAAAGCAGCATTCTCAGCATTGATGATTATACAATTAAAATATTAACCAGCCCTGAAAAACATAAAAGATGTTCTACATCCTGCAAAATAAAGTATTGAGAAAAGATTTAATTCCTGTTGTGTACATACTTATGTACGAATGCACATACACATACACATTCATTAAGAGGCCAGAGATTATCTTTGGACGGCTTCAAGAATCTGAAAGCTAGGTTCTCCAGAGATGAGATCCACAAAATCCTGCCACTGAGGTTCTCCTCCAAGGCTCATGGGTTCCCATTTTACATAATTTTCTGCAACGCCCTATAATTATCTAACAAAGCCTTATGGCAATATTATTCTGAATTGTTTGTATATTTGCAACCAAAACTACTTATGAAAATAGAATAAATGTGCAAACTAAAGAAAACTTTACTAAAAAAATCCAAATTGTGAAATACCAAAACTCCACCCATTAACTCAATTTAAGACATTTATACTCCATCTACAAACTAATCTATGAATAATTAACAAGTCTGAAAATCATTTTTAACATTAAAGACATTCTTGATTTCATTTGTTTCTAATAAGTATTCTCAAATGTAACGGCTATGATTTTTCCTTTATATACTGGTATTACAGGGTGACTAACCACATTATAACAGTGAATTAACAAAGGTTACTGTTTTATGTACAATATACTCTGTTGGTTCTTTATCTTCCTAATGCTATGACTGTTTAATACAGTTCCTCATGTTATGGTGACCCCAGGCCATAAAATAACTTTTGTTGCTATATCATAAATATGAATTGTAATATATTGTTATGAATTGTAATATAAGTATCCCATATGCAGGGTATCTGATATGTGGCCACTGTGAAAGGGTCATTTGGGACTCCCAGCCCTGAAAAGGGGTCGTGAACTACAAGTTGAGAACCACTATGATAGGGACAAAGAAAAATAAAAACACTAGATAACAGTATTGCAGAAGTGAAGTGTGGGAGGTGGGAATTGGAGGAGGGTTAGAGATAGACAAAAACAGGTGGCTTTTAGGAAAACTGGTCAAGGAAAGCCTTTGTAAAGTGATATTTAAACTCAACCACACTTAAGGGAAAGAAGCAGCCAGTCACAGTGAACAGTGGATTTAAAGATCTTGGAGCTGGGAATAGATATGACTTATTCTCAAAGCCAAAGAAAGGCCAATATGAGTACACTGGAGAGAAGTGAGAAAATCATTTAAGACGAGGGCAGAGAAATAGAATCAATTTTATCACATAGGGTTTTGTAACAAAAGGTAGAGCCTGGGGGTACTACAAAATCAGCTAGTATAGAAGGAGACTAACTCCAACAAAATACTAGAGACTGGTTGAGTAACTGACTAAGACTGGAGGACAGAAGGAATCAAATTAGAAAGAGTCCTTCTCACAGAAACTTTAGAGCTGGAAGCCACCATAAAGCCCAGCACTCTCATTTACATAAAGAATGACATGGTTCAAGCTGTGGATTCTCTGTGGTCAAATTGAAGACTACCAGAGCTGAACTTGATTTTTAACATTCAGGACAAAAGTCTTTCCACAATTCTTGACCTCATTCTCAAATCCCAAAGTCTTCACTATAAGTATTTAACAAAGTAGCATAACTAAAGTCAAATGGAAATATATTTTAAAGAAAAAATAATTGGCCACACAAAATTATTCCCATTTCCAATTTCATACACAATTATTTTAAAGCAGCTGATAATATTTACACATTTACTACAAAAGCTATCTCTTCACATATTATGTGAAGCAGAAAACATGAACATAACAACAAAATATACTTACATCTGGGTATTCTTTTACAGGCACATAAAGTTTCTCTTGTAACTGAACAATAGGTCCCACAGCATCAGGCAATTCTGCACTCCTTTTTTCTGTACTGCCATTTAATGTGTCATTGTACATGTCTTTCCGTACTCTGCTAATTTCTGTTAAAAGTAAAAGATTTAAATGTGTTAGACAAAAAGTATTCTTGCTAATCCAGGAAAGGGAGGGGGTGCTTCACTGATCAAGTGTTAACACTCCAGTGAGCAGCTGTTGACCTATCCTGTCATTATCTAACAAGATGACAGCCCTCATTTCCACCATAAATCAAATTTATACCAACCAAATTATGCATCTTATTAAAACTAACCTTAAATCAGAGACTCTCAGCGATAATCCTATATTTAGTTTACCTAAAATTTTCATGTTTAAAAATGAAGCCAGTCATTTTAAATGATAGCTTTGGTTATGTAATTGTCATAAGAATACTTATGTATCAAAGAACAAAATATACCAAAAGCTCAGAATAATCTGTCTCGGTAAGATTTAAACTGGACACCACTTTGTTGGATAATTTTGATATCTTTAACACACTCAAGATGTTCAACAGACAAAACATAGCAAGTTTGGCCAAAGTCTATGTATGGAGTACAAATTCAGCAGTTAAAACTATGAAAAGGAAAAGGTAGACTGACATAACTCAACCGTAAGTAAAACAACATTCCAGGGAAGAGGACCAGTACCTACTGAACAACACAGCAGGAGATACAAAGAACTAGAGAAGACAGGCGCAGCTGCACACTCCTGTAATCCCAGCACTCAGGAAGGCAGAGGCACCCGGATCTCTTGTGAGTTTGAGGACAGCCTGGTCTATAAAACAGTCCCAAACAGCTAAGGTTACACAGAGAAACCCTATCATGGGGGTGGGGAAAGAACTAGACAAGTCAAGCCAAAGTGATCAGCTACTATGAAACAAATAGTAAGTACAAGGTTGATGCCTTACACTAGATCACTAAGATTAAGACTGATGAAAGGAGTTTCAAGAGGAAAACGGTAACAGAAAACAAACCACAGTTGGTTAACAGATAAAATATAGATTAAAAAAATAAGGAAAGACAACTAACATCAATGACCTTAACTCTCCACCCCCAAAAAATCTGTATTATAATTCTCAGGTATAAAAGTATTTTTGAAAACAAGAAAATTATATTTTAATGAATCAAATCCTGTAAATAAAGCAATTCTTCCATAAACTATTTAATGGGCTTCAGCTATATATCAACAGACATACTATCATTAAAATAAGGTATTCCACTATTAAGGCTGGCTAGACACTTAACTTTCTCTCCATTCTATACAGTAATAGCTCCTTAAGAAAAAGGAAGAGATCCTAAAGATGCTCAAGTATACAGCAAGGGCATTTGCTCAACCACGTTCCTAGCAGCTTTATATGTAATAACCAGAAGTTGGAAATAACAGAGATGACCCTCAGTTGAGGAATGGATACAGAAATTGTGGTGTATCTATACAATGGAATACTACTCAGCAAATAAAAACAAGGAAATCATGAAATCTGTAGGCAAATAGTGGGATCTAGAAAAGATCATCCAGAGTGAGGTATCCCAGAAGCAGAAAGACACACATGGTATATACTGGCTTAGTAGATATTAGACATATAATACAGGATAATCATACTAAAATCTGTACACCTAAGGAAGCTAAGCAAGGAGGAGGACCCTGGGTAAGACACTCAATCTCCCTTAAGAAAGGCAAACAGGATAGGCATCCGAAGAGGGAGAAAGCAGGGAGCCTACTACAGAGGGCCTCTGAAAGACTCTACCCTGCAGGGTATCAAAACATATGCTGAGACTCATAGCCAAACTTTGGGCAGAGTGCAGGGAATCTTATGAAAGAAGGGGAGACAGAAAGATCTACAGGGGACAGGAGCTCCACAAGGAGAGCAACAGAATCAAAATATCTGGGCACAGGGGTCTTTTCTGAGACTGATACTCCAACCAAGGACCATTCATGGAGATAACCTAGAACCCCTGCACAGATGTAGCCCATGGCAGCTCAGTGTCCAAGAGTGTTGCTCAGTAATAGGAACAGGGACTGTCTCTGACATGGACTCATGGGCTGGCTCTTTGATCACCTCCTGAGGGGGGAGCGGCCTTACCAGTCAACAGAGGAAGACCATGAAGCCAGTCCTGAGGAGACCTGATAGCCTAGGGTCAGCTGGAAGGGGAGGAGGACCTCCCCTATCATTGGACTGGGGGAGGGGCATAGGAGAAGAGGAAGGGAGGATGAGATTGGGAGAGGATGGGGGAGGATGGGATACAAAGTGAATAAACTGTAATTAATAAAAAGAAAAGGAAAGAAAAAGGAGGAGTAGGAGAAGACAAGGAACAGGACAGGAGCCTTCCACAGGGGGCCTCTGAAAGACTCTAGCCATCAGGGTATTGAAGCAGATGCCAAGACTCATAGCCAAACTTTGGGCAGAGAGCAAGAAATCTTATGGAAGAAGGGAAAGATAAAAAGACCTGAAGGGGACAGGAACTCCACAAAGAGACCAACAGAGCCAAAAGATCTGAGCTCAAGGGTCCTGCAGAGACTTACAAATCAACTAAGAACTATGTATGGAGAGGACCTAAACCACCTGTTCAGATGTAGCCCATGGGCAGCTCAGTCTCCATATGGGCTCCCTAGTAAGGGGACCAGGGGCTGTCCTGACATGAATTCAGTGGTCGGGCTCTTTGATCACCTCCCCCTTGCAAGGTGGCCTAACTAGGCCACAGAGAAAGAGGATACAGATGAGACCTGATAGGCTAGGGTCAGATAGTAGTGGAGGAGAACCTCCCCTATCAGTGGACTAGGAGAAGAACTGGGGGGCGGGGGGGGGCACGGGAGGGTAGAACCGGTAGATGAGGGAGGGGGCCTACAGCTGGGATACAAAGTGAACAAATTTTAATAAATAATAATAAAAAGTTTTTAAAAAGAAAAAGGAAGAAAAACACTTTCACTCCAGTAAATATAACTTATATATTCCAAATGTACAATTTAAAAGTATTCATATTAATAAACTGTCAAATACGAATGCACTATAACTTTCTTTACTTAGTTTTTTCAGTAAGTTTTTTCACAAGAGAAAGGTATAATCCAAGTGTTCTTAATTCGTTATAAAATCTTAACTCAAAGAATTGCACATTTTTTTTCTTTTGATGATTAGCAAATAGAATCAAAGAGTGTATTAGAATAGACTAAAAGATTAAACCATCTTACCAGCCCCTCTAAAAGTTACCTTTATACTTCTAACATTTAATTAAAATTATACATACATACATGTTTTAGTTCATGTCTCTAGATAAAAGTATTTTTTACTACTAGTTATCGTTTAAATTTCTTCACAATCTAGGCAATTCTTGTGATGAATAAGCATACCACCAGAATAAAAATCTACTCATTGTTTTTAAACAACTTTTAAAAATGCTAAACACAAGCTTGGCGTGATGGCACTCTCTTTTAGTCCCAACACTCAGGAAGATGGAGGCAGGCAGACTGCTGTGAGTTTGAGGCCAACCCTGTCTACAAATCGAGTTTAGGACAGCCAAGGCTACAGAGAAACCCTGTCTCGAAGAAGTGGGGAAAAAAATACACACAAGTGGCAAAAAACATACACATGGCTGGGCAGCACATGCCTTTAGCACTCAAGAGGCAGGGGCAGGTGGATCTGAGTTCAAGGCCAGCCTGGTTTACAGACTATGTTTCAGTACAGCCATGGAGGGATACACAGAGAAACTGTTTCAAAAACAAACACTATTATGTGCTAGCAAGATGGCTCATCAGTTAAGAGCTGTACTGTATGTTCTTCCTATGGACCCAGGTCAATTCCCAGCACCAACATAGCCGCTCACAACTCTGTATAACTCCAGTTCAAGAGGACCCAACATCCTCACACAGATATACATGTAGAAAAAAACCCCAATGTATGTAAAAGTAATAATAAATGAATTAAAAAAAACATACAGAGGTTCTCAACCTGTGGTCACAGGACCCTTTGGGAGTCATATCAGATATTTTGATATCATACATTTACATTATGATTCATAACAGTAACAAAATTACAGCTATAAAGTAGCAACAATATAATTTTATAGTGTGTAGGGGGAAACACCACGTATGAAGAACTATGGTAAAGGATCATTAGGGCTAGAGATGGACTCAGGTTCAATTTCCAGTACCCTTACAGAGGCTCACAACTGTAACTAACCTGATCCTCTTTTCTGAGCTCCAAGCACACACATGGTATAATAACACAAATTCAGGTAAAACACCCATACATACAAAATATTCTCATTTTCTCTCTGTCTCTCTCTCTTGCTCAGTGGTTAAGAGCATATACTCTTCTTACAGAGGACCTTGAGTTGGGTTCCCAGCACATTCTTCAGGCATCTAACAACCCAAAGTAGCTCCAGCTCCAGAGGAATTAAACACCTCTGGTATCCAGGCACACCTGTCCTCAAGTGTACATACTAACAAATACACACACTCATAAAATTAAAAATAAATCTAAAAAATTAAAATACTAATTAACTAATAAAATTTGCATATAATAGAGGTGCGAAAGCTGTAAGATTGACATGCTAAAAAGAACAAAAAAGCACCAAAACACAGTGGAGGGCGAGAAGATGTAGGTCAGCACCAATACAAAGTGAAAAGCTAGAGATGTGGTAGAATGGCAGAGTGCTTACACAACATGTGCAAGACCCTGGATTCAATCTCAGGAGAGGGGAATTTGCAACTGCAAGAATAGGTCAGTATTTGAAATTTTATTATTTTAAAATAATACTGAATTAATTCTTTGAGAATTTTACACAACTCATTTTAATCATATTCACACACCCATACACACACCACCTAACTCCTCCCAGATTCAACCTCTCTACCTTCACCTCCCTATCCACCCAAACTCTAGGTTTTGTGCCCCCCCTTTTTGTTTTTAACACATCAGTACAATGTGTTACCCAACAACTACTTGGGAGTGGGACCTGCCCTGGTGCTGAGTGCACCATTAAAGAAAACTGGCTCCCCCTCGTCTAGAAGCCAACAAACACCAATAGCTCCTTAACTTGTGTTAGAATGTGGCTGCCACGGTTTCCCTTCTATT